TCTATCTATCTATCTATCTATCTCCCTATCTCTTTATCCTTTTATCTTAAAAAAATAGCAAAAAAAGAAAATACTGAATAAAACAGATGTAAAGGAGAACAACTGGCTTCCGCAAGACAGATGGTCGGGCCGACAGATGACTAGCCGGGCAGGTGCCAGAACGAGGTCCTCCTGTCACCGTTAGGGCTCTAATGAGGATAACAACAGCTCACCCGCTTCATTTAATCCTCAATGCGCCCGAGGCCACTGTCACTAGCTGTCACGAGCCCCCCATTCCACCCCCACCCCAACCTCGTTTTTAAAAAAATGAAATACTTCGGTTTTAGTCAGTTCCTCCATCTACTTTTGTTTTGTTTTAGCTGCCCATAAAGTAGAGGGACTCACTGGATCAAACTAAGACAGGACAATCGCATAATTACACTTTGAAAACCTGTTGTAAGAGTGATTGGGTATTTCCATATAGGAAGACTGATTAAAGATTACTCGCACTGAGACTACAAAAACCGTACTTTAATTGCAGTGGAATCAATTCTTATACAGACTCAATGGCAATCGTACAATTAACTTTTTAAAGACCAGACCGACGGGTTTTAATGAAAATATTTCGACACGTTATAATATTAATAATAATAATAATAATAATAATAATAATAATAATAATAATAATAATAATAATAATAATAATAATAATAGTAGTAGTAGTAGTAATGATGATGATGATGATGATGATGATGATGATGATGAGGATGATGAGGATGATGATGATGATGATTATGATGATGATTTTTTGTTTCCTTAATGGGCCTGACGGATTTCACGAAGAAATCTTCGAGCGAGAGCGAGGCTCTTTTTCGGCTCCATTGTCAATATTATGCTTAGCAGCAGCTCCACTCGTCCAAATAACTCCATTCGAATTGCCATTGTTCCTGGACATTCAGACATATTAATATGTTTGATATCCTCCTTTTCATGGCCGCATCTTCGGCAACATGGGCTGAGCTCTTCATTTACAAAGTTCTTATACCATCTTAAACTCCAATGATGGTCCGACCGCAGTCTCGCTAGCTCAACCTGGTCCCAGCGACATGTGATAGATTTTTGTTCCCGCTTATAGGAGTACCCAGAATACACATCTTCCATGTGTTGGTACTTAGTTCTACATGGTGGGTCTCTGATTTCTCTCTTGATTATTGGAAAGACTCCTCTGTATGTCGTTGGTCGTCTGTCTCCTTCGATCTCTCTGGCTTCATTAGCAGCTTTGTCTGTTGCTTCATTTCCTTCTATTCCAACATGGCTTGGAATCCACTGAATTTTTATTGTGGCTCTGGCTTCACTGAACTTGCGGCGCAAATCATTCATGTCGGAGCTGTTGCCCAGGAGCCCCTTGCAGAGGGACTGATTGTCAGTCAAGATCAGCACATTGGTCCTACTGTGGCAATTGTCGGCAATCCATTGTGCAGCAGACATCATTGCCTGACATTCCTCGTCATAAGAGGATGTAAGGAATGCACCTTTAATTTTAATAATTTCTGTTCGTGGTGGTTCTTCATTTATTATCACTACTGCTGCTGCTCCAGCTTCGCGGTATCCTGCGACTGCCGATCCATCGGTGAAAATTGTCACATCCGCACCAACCTCTCTGATCACATCCTCAGCTGCTTCACGTGCCTTTACAGGATCATCACCTTTGATGATGATGATGATGATGATGATGATGATGATGATGATGATGATGATGATGATGATGATGATGATGATGATGATGATGATGATGATGATGATGTGATGATGATGATGATGATGATGATGATGATGATAACAATAGTAATAATAATAATAACAACACCAATAATAACATAACGATGATGATGATAATAATAA